ATGATTGTACTTGTATGACATCACCTAATAAACGATAAAAAGGTGTTCAAACAATTAAAGAATATATTAGAAGCATCATTGTCAAAGAATTGTATTCGGACGCATATATCGTCCCCGGAACTCAAAAGGTTAAGACTTTATTTTAGAGGAAGATATATGATATCTAACGAGGGAACTGTTCCAACTGATCCATCGCTTTAAGGTCGAAACTGTGTGCATCATGCGGGCCCCAATGAGCTATGAATACACTGAAAAAAGTTCGGGTCTATAGCTTATTACTGTGAAGATATTACATTTTGAAGGGTATTTTTTTTACCTCAGTTTCCTGGTCGCCCTCAGGACCATCAAAAAAACTAATTTTCGAATGTCAAGTAGAAACTTTACACAAAGAGAGGTCTTAGAAAGAATAGCTTATTGTGAAAGTTTCAGCCTTTTCGATTGCACCTATTCTGAAATAAGGACATCGAAATCTGCTAGTATATAAGCGATATGAACAAGATGCTGTTCTCATAACTATACCTTAGAATAGGAACAACGAAAAAATCTGAAACTTTCAGCATAAGCTATTCTCTCTAAGACCTCTCTCTATGCAAAGTTTCAAGTTGAAATTCCAAAGTCAGTTTTCCTGATGTCCCTGAAGAGGACCACGGGATTGAGGTAAAAATACCCTTAAAAATGCAGTATCTCTTCAGTAACAAGCTATGGACCCGAACTATTTTCAGTGTATTCATAGCTCCTTAGGGTCTGCATGATGTTCCCTCTAGAGTTAACTCGATGATGCTAAAAAATTTGTTGTCGTTGTGAAACTATCCTCGAATGTATCGACACCGATCTTTCAAAATCGACCGTTATAGGTTTTGAATTCTGTTAAAGACAATGTTCTATGAACTCATGAAGAAGAACTTGGCATGTTTGCTGATTCTTCTTCGGTAATAATGTAAATACAACTGATATAATACAGAAAGCTACATGTCAAAGTAGAGGAAGTACTGATCTTAAATTGCTATTGACCAATCATTGTTCAAAAAGTGCTTGCGATTGAAAAGTAGATGAAAATAGAGTTAGACGATCATTACTAAAATTAGAATCAGTTGTCGCAATTTATTATTGATTTTTTTTCCTTGGATCATTGATATAACCTCTAATTTAACTTTAGTTACCCAAACTTATTCATTGGCTAATTAGTTTGATCTGTTCCGTTAACAACTGACATATTTAAATCTCCTATTCCCAATGAGACAGAAAACAAATGTCATCAGCTGGCATATAGATTGTGAAATAACATGAGTCAAGGTTTACTTTTCTTTTCTTTCTGTCGCTATTCATTATTACTCCGTGTCTCTTTTCTTTTCTCACTTTGACTTTTCATTTCACACAAATCATAAGTGTAGAAGCAAAAAAAAATGACTGACATATGCATTCTTACATACAATGTCTTAGCTGCTGTCTTTGTTAAAAAGCAATACTACCCAAGCACTTCATCCAACCTCCTCGACTATCAAAATCGCCGTGAACATACACTACACCTAATTCAAAGCTCCTCAGCTGATTTCATTATGCTACAGGAAGCACAGGAACAAGATCGGCTCCTATTTGAAAAATATTTTCCGTCAAGATATGACTGCTCATCCCTGGGTAAGTTCATTAGAATAAACTACTAACATATTGATCAGTGGTGCCACCTGTGAGATACACATGTTCTTGTGCAGTCATGGAAACCGCAGATCGATAGCTATTGTGGGAAAAAAGGAGTCTCAGTGGGAAAAGGCAATTAGAGGTAAAAACAAGTTCTATCGGAGAACTTATTGAACCCACTATTCTTAATCTTGAACCTTCATTTCGTATATGAATGGGAGACTACGGCGGAATTTTTCGAACACTCACTTTAAAAAATATCTATAAATGATTTAAGAAGTGCAAATGCAGTTTGTCTCTGTTATCGATGACAAGTGTCCTCACTATCGTTTCTCTTTCTTTCTCTACAACACACAAACACTTTAGAGACATTCCTTCTCATCTTTTCATTCACAGTGTTCTGTACCTTTTCGTTTCATGTTCTGTTTTCGAGAAAGAATGTTATCTACAATACCATTCTTTCTCTTTTCTTCTTTTTCATATATATGTGTATGCTTGATTCAGTAATGTGTGCAGGTTTTTTTTTCACATACATACATCGATTACAGTGCAGCTCCTCTCTCCTTCGGCAAACACGGTTTAGTCCGTTTCTCAGAGAGAGCTCACAGTCCCGAATAACCTTCAACATTCTAAAAGACTCGAAAACATTTCAAAATACTTTCAGTCGATAACCTATTCAGTCTCATGCAAAGCGAAACCATAACCACATCTCTAAAGCGTCTCCTCCAAGTAACACCAACATTTTTTCGAAAGGGTGCGTAATGAAAGAGCTCTTTGAACTATCACCTGCAAGCTTTACCTCTTTGTGCATTCTGGCTGTGGTACCTCATGAGAATGTTGAGAAATGTAGCCGCAAGCAGTGGCATAGATTATCAATTGAAAGTTTTTACAAAGGTTTTTGATTTTTCAGAATGCCGCATGTTTTCGGACAAAACTAGATTATTATGATAAAGTTTCTGTCTGCTCAAACCTTTTGCAGATACTTTTTGAAATAAGATGTGATAAAGTTTTGTCGTACTCTTTCATCTCTGGCCAAAATAAAGGTTTAAGATTAAGAATAAGAGGCTCAATAAGGTGTGCAATAGAGGTCATTTTTCTAAGTAAGTATTTTGTTCTCAAATTATTTTCTGTAGTAGCTAGCGACTCTCAGTTTTTGACAATGAAACCAGCGTCCAAAATCTGCATCGAAAAATGTTTAAATCGCAGGTGGCACGACAAGCTATGTCTAAAATAATTTGTGCCATACGATTTATCCTTCTAGCTTCGAAATCTGAACCAGTTAATGCACGTAGTGCCGGTGCTATGACACTCGTCTCAAAAACATGGGCAGGAAAATATGATATTGTACCAATTTCATTCGATAATGGCAAAAAGTGTCAAGTTATTAATTGTCAAACCCATGATGGGAAACGCTTTTCGATTGTGAACGTACATCTAGACTTTAATGTGAAAGAAAAACAGTTTGCTGAATTGGAAGAGCTCGTGTTCAGACGGTTTGCAGGACCGTTTATTGTCCTTGGTGATATGAATGCTACAAGACATGAAATGGAAAAAATGTTCAAGAAGCACACAACGATAAAATTTGTAAATGCAATTAGTGGAGACCCAAATACATATTTTAGCGAAGATGGAAGAGGAACGAGGCAGTGCGATCATATTTGGATTGAAGAAGGGTACTTCCAAGTGAAAAATGTCGATGTATCGACCAAGATAAATGATTTGGAGGAGTGTTTGAAACAGTTTGGATCGGATCACGTACCGATTGAAGTTTTAATTAGTATCGTTTGAGATGCTTTTAACTATTCATTGCTTGTGCTGCTTATGGGAATAAAAGTAAATAAAGAAGCACTTCTCAATAGATACTTTTGTCATGCCAACAAAAAAGATGCGTTTAAACATAGAAATAACTTTTTTTTTCGAAAAGTTTGCGCTGAAACGCTCTTTTATATAAAAAATTGTTTTTCGTGGGTAATCTGATAGCAGTTGATATTTTTTCAAAGACATATCAATCATGTGTTATAATTCATTCTCACTGTATATTCTCAAGACGATTTTTTATTGAATCTGTATTTATTTGAATACTACGAAGCAAAATCGTTAGTAATAAGTAAAGTCTTTAATTAGAGAAAAAAACTGAATAATGTTTGAAAAATTTTTCATTTGATTGAATAAATTTGATTATTTATTTATCGAATCCAAAAATTCGAAGACACTGCCATAGTTTGATATCGAATCGTTGTCGATACACTTTTTGGCATGAATAAAATTTATTCGAATAGATTTTTGTCAAGAATTCATTTAAAAATACATCTAAATTAGCTTGTGTAGATATTTTATAATTGATTAATCCTTTTATGTTGAATTGTTTTAGTCCTGTTCGTCATACCTTGATCATAGAGTTGGTGGACATCGGTCGCTAAAATATATAGTGATTTCACTGTTTGAAATCGTTAACAAAGACCAGCAATATGTTCTGTTTGCATTTGTACTATGAGTTCAGCAGCACTGTTATCCCACCTGAATAAATATCAACCATTAAGAAGTTTATTCATATAAAAAACTAAAGATTTACCAGAAAATAGCTGACTCAGATTAACTGGTACATTTTTCAAATGATGTTAGTAGTTTATAGGTAAACGAATTTAATGTGATATTCAACTGTTGTATTTTGAGTAAGTGTGAGTGTGGGTGGGTGTGGGTGTGTGGATGGTGGGTGTGGGTGTGGGGTGTGGGTGGGCGTGGGTGTGGGTGTGGGTGTGCATGTGAATATTTCCTTCTCTACATCCACACTCACCACACCCACACCAACACCCACAGTCACACCCGTCGCTAACGATGTTTGTTCTTTAATAACTCCTTTGTGCACAGCACTAGAATGTTGATTTTTTATTATGTCTAGATTCAATGGAGACTCTTAAAAGATGTAAAAATCACACCTAAACTAGCTGATAATTTCTAGATATGCTTACTGCAAATTTGCGATATCACCTCGCTAACGAATGATCTACCCATATAGACTGCTTTGTATGCATATGATGTTACCTGTAATATTTTACTATAGATCTGTCATTTATTGTATTATGTGCTATACTGTTCCAGTTTTATATCTGATTTCTTGGCATACTTGTATTTATCGTCTTGCAATAGACTACTAGATTCGTGAGAGAATGATATTTCATAATATTTATCTTCCTGTCCTTTGTTTTTGTATTAACTATATTTCGTTTGGTACTATGAAAGATTTGCTGAATTGTAATG